TAGGGGTGTGCACGGTTAGGTCCAAACAGAAAAAACCGACCGAACCGACCGAACCGACCAAAAATTAACGGTTCGATTCGGTTTTAGTTCTAAATCGGTTCGGGTCGGGTTAAAAATTTTCAACCCGAACCGTCCGAACCGAATGCCCATAACCCATACCCATCTTCTATTACCCGACCCGTGTTCTTCAGTTACTATAAAATCCCAAACTCCACCGGCCCTAAACCTAACTCTCTCTCCAGAACCTCAATTCCAATCGCCGCCGCCCTCCACCTCGGCTCGCGACCATCCTTGCTCCAAGATCCGCGATTCTCAGCCTACCCATCCACCCCTGTAGCTAGTACATCTCTCGCCTCGATCCAGATCTGCCGTCCCTAGAGCCGAATCTGTCCAAGTCGGCCATGGCTACATGCCGCCCAGATCTGGCCATGCTCCGCCTCGGCTCAAGCTCGTCGGCCGATACACCAAGTCCGTCAAGCAAATCCCCTACAACTTCTCCGTCCTCGAGATCTCCGATCCCATTCTTTTCCCCGGTCTTCTCGACGCTCCCTCCACTGCCACCGCCAACATCACGCTGGCTGCTTGCTTGAAAAAGCCGGGTGCAAGACTTTTGCTGGTCTCGTCGAGAGCTCGGGAGTTCTGAAGATGTTCGAGGCTGTTGAGGACAAGGGGCTGACGCTGTTTGCGCCTAACGACGAGGCTTTCAAGGCTAAGGGGGTTCCGAATCTGAACAAGCTCAGTAGCGCTGAGCTTGTGACGTTGCTGCAGTACCGACGTTGCTGCAGTACCACACGCTGCCGAGTTATTCTCCGAAGGTGTCGTTGAAGGGAACCGATCATCCCATCGCCACCAGTGGAGCTGGCAAGTTTGATCTGACTGTGAGTTCTCATGGCGATGATGTGAGCTTGAAGACTGGAATGGGGAGTTCTCGCATTGCGGAGACGGTTCTTGATGATACTCCGGTCTGTAGTCTGACTGTGGATAGTATCTTGCTGCCGTCATAGTTGTTCGGTGGGGCTAGTTTATAAGTAAGTCCCTCATTGACTTCTCTTTTCAATTTCAAGTCCTTTTCAATTTATCATGAATATGAATTGCCACTGGTTAATCTATTGTTTGGAACATATTCAAGTTTTGCATATAGTTTCCTGCTAGACTATTGAAAGTCTGATGAAGTTACAACCGAACAAACCGAACCGCACCGAACCGCCTCCTCGCCTCAATCTTCGGTTCGGTTTTGAATAGTGGGCAGTTCGGTTCGGTTGTTTAAATTTTGATAAAAACCGAACCATGCTCAGCCCTAGGTAGGAGGTCACAGTCTAGAGGGGGACATCCTATAGTTGGTAGGAATCAGTGTGCCTTTTGTAGAGAGGATGGACATTGGAAAGCCGAATGCCCAAAATTACAAGCCGAGAAGAATAAGGGGAAAGTTATTCAAGCTTCAGAGGTGAATGTTGCCAAGGCTAGTGGCGACGTTTTAGGCGCCGCCGTCAGCGCCGTCGTCCACACTCGTTCTTGTTGGTTTGTCATTCACCGTTTTCTGTCGGTTGGGCAACAATAAGTGGGCTAGGGTGGGGGATCTCACTTACGGAGCCCAAATCATATCTTTGGCCTTGGTTGATGGCATTGTTTACTGTCTTGATAGCGATTACAAGGTGAAAGTTGTGGATTTTCGTGGTCCTGTGAGTTTGAGGGCTATTGAGACGGCTGTGTTTTCATATATCCCCTCGAGTCGTGATAACTTTCACCTCTCTTCCTTCTCAACCCACCTCTCTTCCTCAGAGTCCAATCGATAAACAACAACCTGACATCTGTTCTTCCCTAACCGAATGAAAAGAAGCAACAGAACCTCCTCACCACATTCAACCAAGAACCTCCTAAAGTTGCCATGACTCGAGCGGATATATAGACTCTGAGGAAGAGAGGTGGGTTGAGAAGGAAGAGAGGTGAAAGTTGCCACGACTCGATGGGATATATGGAAACACAGCCGTCTCAATAGCCCTCAAACTCACAGGACCACGAAAATCTACAACTTTCACCTTGTAACGGCTACAAAGATAGTAAACAATGCCATCAACCAAGGCCAAATATATGATTTGGGCCCCGTACCTGAGATCCCCCACCCTAGCCCACTTATTGCTGCCCAACCGACAGAAAATGGTGAATGACAAACCAACAAGAACGAGTGTGGACGACGGCGTTGACGACGGCGCCGTCAAGATGCCGATCCGAGACCTGAACTTGTGGGGATAGGGAGGCGTCACCTCGATCTTGCTATCGGTGAAGACGTCAGCGAGAGTGATGATTTTGTTGGCGTGAAAGATGAGGTGGCCGAAGGAGGATCCGACGCAATCGCCGGTGAGAGTTTGGTCTTGGAGCGGAGAATTGTAGGGTTTGGGATCGGGTAGGGAGTGGAGGGTGAGTCCGATGGGGCAGAGGAGAAGGGGGCGGCGAAGGAGTTGAAAGAGCGGCAGGCAACGGAGAAGGAGAGGCGGTCAGCGATTGAGACGAGGAGGCGGTTGAAGATGTCGATGAGGTCTATCGCCCAGGCGTCTGGGTGGGCGCATAAACACCACGTTAGGAAGGATTTGTCAAAGATCCAAAATCCTATCCTTGCTATTTTATCTAAAATGAACATGGATCAAATTCTGATCTGATTCATTTTACCCTGCCCTGTTCTCTTCGCTTGTTGTTATGCTGAAGCCTAAAGCTAGCGATAAACCTCTTTTTGACATGGTGAGTTCACGTAAACAGCCCATTTTCACCTAGGGCTATTAAGCATTAAGCGGGCAGCCCATGTACTACTTAGGCATAGGCAGACACCGTACCCCTTTATAAAACAATGATTGTAGCCTTGTAGGATAACATTTCTCATAAAGGTTGCATTTGGATTTTTGACTTCTCAATCCAAATTTGAACCCTCTTTTTATAAATGTTGAAATATAAGAGCTAGAGATCAATTAAGTCCTCATGCTTTGCCTAGCTTTTTCTTGGGTCATGATTCTCTACATCCTTGACCATTTGTCACCCCTTCACCCTCGATTGCATGTTGCTGGAGCTCTTTTCCTTTCCCGCTCATTGTCTATCCATTGATTCCTCTTAGTTGTATCTCTTCCTGCTTCGCTGCTCTTTACACACCTCATTTACATGAATAAATGCTTTTGAATGTTTACATATTTATTAAAAATAACCAATGCTTTGTTCAAACGACAGCTTGTAGGCAAAGAGTAATAGGGCGGAGCAAGCTGGAATTAGCTGACGGACGACATCATCCTTTATTAGTTAGTACCAGCTCTCCCGACCAAGGAATCTGTCTTACTACTATTCGTGGTTCCACTGTGCCATATGCCTAATCCCACTGCGGGCATCAATATTTTCAACTAGACATGTGATCCTAACCTCCTCGTGACAATCTAAGAACTGGCCGACAACGGAACGAAACCTTCCGTGTGAAGAACAAAAACCATATGCATCCACATGAAAAAGAATATGACTAGAATTTGGCACTTATCACGCTGACCATGCCCGTTTATCCATGTTAGATCATGACAAGCGGCCACATGTCTACGATTGTAATTTCATCCTTACAGGTATTGCTAGCATTCGTACCAGAAATTTATTGATGCTTCTTAAGGGCAATATTCAGTGCATGCAACTATCACCGTATCACAACATTTTGGAGCTTTGAATTGAAACAACAATATAAATATTTCATTGGGAAAACTATTTCCTAATATCGTGCTAAGTTCAAAACACAATGAAAACCCCTGAGAACCATAGTAACTAAGGCACATTAAGGATAAAATACAAAATAATTATTACGACCATGAAGAAAAAGAAAGTTAGAATCTAGCTGCAACAACTAAAACAACTACCTCTAATGTCTATAAACAGTAAGATTCAAGTTTCCATAATTATACCTAGCCAAATAGACCTATTCGGGTAAACCCAAACAGGGGAGGGCCAAACAACCAACTTCTTGTACGCCAAACACAAAGCAGATTCAGCATCAACTCGCTTAATCTCTGGACCATCTAACGGAAGCGCAGAGAATGTATCACATCCAGGTTCAACGACATAAACGCAGTTGCTTCTTCCTCCCCATCTTGCAGGATCCGAACATGCAATCCGACCAGGTTCAACGACATAAACGCAGTTGCTTCTTCCTCCCCATCTTGCAGGATCCGAACATGCAATCCGAGAATTACTCACAACATCAATAAACAAACACCAATCTCCCAAGTTTTCCTTCTCAACCCACCTCTCTTCTTCATTACTCACAACATCAATAAACAAACACCAATCTCCCAAGTTTTCCTTCTCAACCCACCTCTCTTCTTCAGAGTCCAATTGGTAAACAACAACCTTACACCTATTCTTCTCTGACCGAACGAAAAGAAGCAACAGAACCTCCTCGCCACATCCAACCAAGAACCTCCTAAATGGAATTATGAAGACATGCCAGGGCTCGACCCCAATGTAGCAATGCATCGCCTTGATATCAAGCCGGATGCCAAACCTGTCAAGCAACAACAAAGATGGTTTCGTCCGCAGATTATGGAAGCCATTGAGTCGGAGGTTAAGAAATTGATCGAATCAGGATTTATCCGAGAGGAGCAACATCTAGATTAGCTAGCCAATATCGTTCCAGTCATGAAGAAGAACGGTAAAATCAGGATTTGCATTGATTTTAGGGACCTGAATACAGCATGCCCAAAAGACGACTTTCCTCTCCCAATCACAGATGTCATTATCGACAATACATGCGGATTTGAAAGGATGTCTTTCATGGATGGGTTTTCAGGATATAACCAAATCAAGATGCACCCAGATGATGAGAAGCATACAGCGTTCAGAACGCCCCTCGGTGTATTTTGCTACACGGTGATGCCATTCGGTCTAAAGAATGCAAGCGCCACATATCAACGAGCAATGACTAAGATTTTCCAAGAACATCTCA